TAGCGCACATATGCGAATATTATATGCAGGAGGGCACATTCACGGGCAACTTGCTCTCCAGCTACATACATGATAGAATAAATGTCTCTAGAGGCACCGCGCAAAGTCGCGCTCTCATGGTCTGGGAAGTAATGCAGTCAAAGGCCAAGGACGAAATAGCATGCATGGCTGCGCTATGCAGCCTGGGAAATGCACAGGATGCCCTGTACAGAGAGGCCCTTGTGTACTGCATGTCTCTGCACATTCGAGGAGAAAAGGCGCCGTATTTTGTGCAAAGCGTGTCCAACATTCTGGGAACATTCATGCTTTCTGACCAGGCTGTGCAAAATAGCGTGCTGAGCATTCCCATATTCGCGCGCGCATTCACGGGCCTGTACCCGCACATAGAAATATCTGACGAGAGATACAGGCGCATATTCAAGGCCCCAGACATGATCACCCACATGCACGCGTACACCGGATATCCCGAGTTTTACTCACTTCTTACAGAGTACATTTATGCCTACAAAGAAGAAAGCAAAGAAAACCTTTCCAAATGCAAAAACATTTTTAAAGATATATGCATCAAGACTCTTTTTTTGGCTATATTTAGAGAGAACACGGTAGACCATGCAGACGCACTTAGGGAGATGCTCTCTAAAGAAGGTGCCGCGGGGAAAGAAATTGCGCGCATGCTCGATCTCATATGGTTTGGCCTGGCTTGTATTAAAAAGAAAGACTACTTTTCGCTGGTGAAGTCTTTGTACGACCGCATACCAATGGAAGTGCCCCATAGCATGCCTAGCACATTTTTCAATTGCTTTCACGCCACAGCACTAGGTGTTGTATTGTACATGGGCAAGAATGCACAGGAGCTCGCAGAAGATGAAAACACGCAGAAGTTCAGTGACATTAAAAAAACATTTGCGGACATATGCTGCATAGAGTGGTAGCTAATAAAAACAGCAAAGCAGCTTCTAATGTGTAGTTTATTATTTTATAGTATGGCATAGGACATAGAAAGACACATTCAAGCGCCCACGTATTTTAAGTGTTGCAGCAGGCAGTTGGCTGCAATGGCAGCTGTGCATGCAGCGATGCAGCTGAAAAGATAGCCCCCAGCATCTGCACAGTTTTGCCACGCTAATACTATTTCTGCCTTCTCTCGCGCCATCTCTCTACTGCGCTGCGCGGCATATACATTACTGGGTGCTGACGGTGACTGTGAGGTTCCTGCTGCGCAGATACTCAACTGTATCCACAGAAACCAGCGTGCGTGTAAACTCTATTGTAGTAAGCGTGGCCCTGCAGGTGTCCACCAGATCGTATATCTTCATAGGGAGTATCTTGCACCCTATCAGCTTAACTGTTGCGATGGGGTGCCTGCGCATTTCCTTGATGATAGACATCGTTATCTCTATCCCGTCAAAGTGTATCACCCGTATCACAGGAATGCGCTGCAGAATTCTATACACGTCAAAGTGCCGAATCACGCAAGTGCTGCACTTGTTTTCGTCCCAGAAGATAAGGATTTTACTGTCTGCTATTCTGATTCTTTTTCTTCTTGTGTTTATAAGGTCGATCACTCTGTTCCCTATTTGGTCCACCGAGCTGCCTAAAACGTCAATGGAGACTGCATTGTCGAAGTACTCCTCTCTGTACCGGGCAATCCCCACATCATGCAGCACCACGGTTTTAGATCGCTTGACCAGTCTCCACAAGTCGTCCGACATTTCGGTGTTTTTAATGCGTATGCTGTCTATAACGCAGTCGGAAAGCGTGCCTTTGACCCTGCATATGTTGCACAAGTCCAGAACCCCTATTTTGCCTACAACCTTTGATAGATTTAGCTTGTTGCGGGCTTTCAGCTTTCTGCCGCTTGCCTCGACGGGGCACACAGGATACATCCCTAAGGAGAAATACTTCGACATCTTATACACAAACCATCCAGAGAACCCTTCCACCTCATACCATTTGGTTTCCACGTCTTTCTCTTCTACAATAGCACGTGATGCCGCTGGCTTTCTTCCAGAGAGTCTTTTCATAAAAATTTAAATGCTTTACAAAGCCTTACGAAGTATAAAGGGTGAAGTCTCAGTGGAAACGCGAGACAACAAAAGATATAACGGCCGCGCGCATATCGACACAAAGCTTAACATATCCATAGACAACCATCAGATACGGGCATCAAATCTTCGATATGTAATGCTGTCGGACGAAGACACGGCGCGCATTATGCAGCACGTAGAAAAAGAAAAAAGCACGCCAAGTGCAGTATTGCACATTAGCCCAACAGACATTTAGTGCATCTGCACGCGGCATCCCATCGTATATACGCTGCAGGCGCTCCTTATAGGATGTCCAACAGCACTTTGCTAAATGCGCTGACAATGCACACAATCGTGCCGCCGCACAGGCCAAACACAAGATATGGAGTGGTGAAGTCCGGCACAATTGGCCGGTTGTACACGGGCGTGTATGTGTAGCTGCCGTCTTTCACAGTGTATAGGTCGGCTATGTGCACGCCGGACTCTATGGTCAGCGGACTGTTTCCGCTTATTTTGATCCTATATCCAAGAGAAACAGGCTTGTCTGTTACTATGATAGAGCTGCTTGTGCGCGCCAAAGGAATGACGTTCTTGGAAAAACGGACACCCACAGGCCCGTTTTCGCATATTTCTAGCCATCTTTCAATGCCGTGTCCTAGACACTTAAATATCACAGGGTATTTCATAAGCATAAAAATAACACAACATAAAAATATTGTTCTAGCCCTAATATACATTTTATTACACCACATCAATACAAAACCATACGCAATAACGCTAGAAACATTTCAGCCCATTCCATTTATGCCGCGGCAGGGCAGATGCTGCAAAAGTGCAAACAGGCGCAGCCCACCAAGCTGTGCTTCAACTTCAAGAAAGTTTATTTCTGCAGAGCACATCCATGCTCACTCTATGCGAGCATTTGCGCCCTCCTGTGGCGTCTTTTTCTTGACGTTTTCTGGAAGGGCATACAGCTCGTACGTGGCATCCACCGCTTTGGGGAGCGCTCCGGTGACTATTCCGCACACGCACAAGTACGCCAAGTATCCGGCGCCATCGCACTCTGTCAGCCTAAGCGTGAGCGTGTCCACAGACTTGTGCTTGTACGCAGGAATGACTATGGGAATTATGTGCCTGCTTCCTGGAAGCATGTACTCTTCTTTTGTCTTCGACTTGTAGGACAGCGTCACATATTGGTTATTTACAAAGAGCTCCATCTTTTTAAATGACGTGCATATTTCTATCCTGCACAAAGACACCTTGCACACGAATGGGATCTTGACTACTAGTCCGGTAGCATCGTTAGAATGGGCAGAAGTAGCCATATCTATGTCTCGTATAGAAGCGCTTTTGCTCAGTATATTTACGCAGCTGCCTTTAACCTTCTCGTTAATAGCACACACCTTATCCATATCAATAGAAGAGAACAGCGACTTAGAAGGCAAACTGTCATTGCATGCACACTCTTTACTGCACCCCATAGAGAGACAAAAATAAATATATTTATAGAAGAGGCAAAGCGCAAGTGCGCACTTGCGCTAATTTCGGGACGCGGGCCTGCAAGCATAGAGCAAAAATTCGGTAGAAGTGTCTGCGCAATGCTACGTGCTGCCCTATATGAACTTTTTGTTTACATAGTCAAAGTTAAAGTCGTCCATTTCCTTAGATGAAGGCTTTCCATCCCAGTTGGGCGGCCTTCTGTCGTTTATGGTGGGGTGCTCCTCCATGGGCTCTGGCTTTATGAACCGCATGTGTCTCTCCATGGGGGCGCCCTGCCCTGGAGACCCGTATATGACTTGTCTAGACATCCCGTCCTCGACAGGTATTCTCTGGTACGGGGACTGGCTGTAGTGCTTTGTCTTTCTGGGGTTTGCAGAAATGTCGCATATGCACTTGAGGTCGTTGTGGTATATTTCTAGCAGCTTCTTAGTGCTGTCTATGTATAGGTCTATCTGTGCAGACGTGGTAAATTTCCTTTTAGAAATAAACCCTCCCGTGGCTGTGTTTATGCTGTCCCCCTTTCGGAACACCACCTCTATATAGTCTGTGTTTGCCACTGCGTTTATCGAGTAGTGTGTGTTTCCGCCTATAAACTTGGCAGTCCTGTAAATCCGGGAGTTGGTCGACCTTTCAAGGCCCAAGTATGCCTCGTTTTTTCTGTTGTTTTCGGCTCTTCGGTACTCTTTTATCACACTGCTGATCTGCACCTTTATCTTCTGCTTTTTGTCTATTTTGAGCATGTCGTACTTCCTTACGTTGTAGTCGTGCACTTTCAGGATCTCAAACACTTCTGGAGTAGGGTCCAAACAAATCTTCGCTGTTTTTGCATATATCTCAGCCTCAACAGCCTCCTCGGTTTTTGTCGATAGAAGAACCCCGTGCACGTACGGCATGCCTGCCACAGACCCCCGCAGCAGCACTCTGTTGGAAACAGGCTCCGCCACTCGGTGGTCAACCACCTCCACAACCACGTGATTGTCGTAGAACGGATAGTCCCCCCTGTCAAGAAGATCCAGCAGATACGGGTGGATCAGGTTTCTGTTTACATACGACAGAAGCGTGTTTATAACGTCTGTGTATCCATGCTTAACGCCCTCCTTCTCTACAGGCCCAACCATAACATACCCTGGGTACATAGATATAGTGCATATCACAGGAATGTCTTTGAATTTTTCTATGGGGTTAAATCCAAAGGAAAACCTCTTGAAGCTCTCCCACTTTCTCTTCTGAGCAGTATAGTACTCGGCGCATCTACGCTTCAAATTTTGGGTTGGCGCGTCTTTAAACTCGTCCAAAGCAACTTCTTTGTTGACAGCTTCCTCAAAGAAGCGCTCAAGCATGTCCTCTTGCACTGCCATTAAATAAATAGAAATAAAAGGATTTATTTATGAGACGCATCTTCGATGGGAGATCTGCCTGGGAGAGGTGCGTATAACCAGCGCGTCATTAAATGACCAGCACTCGCTTTCGTCGCTCCATATAACCTCAAACGCATCCCCGCAAATTGTGCATTTTTGCTCTCTATCGCCGCGCACGGGAACTGTTGGCATTTTCTCCTGCACGCTGGCTTTGAGCTTAACAGGAACCTTTTGCTCCTGCATGGCGCCAGTCTCCTGCAGCCACGACCTCCACATCGGCGCCTCCACAGACCTTCCAATTTGCGACTTTTTCTGGTGCATCTCTGCATGCGCCTTGTACAGCGAAAGAACGTCAAACCGCATTCCGCAGACCTTGCACTGCGTGGCTGCGGTGTACAGCAGCTTGTACGCCTGCTCCAGGTGGGGCGTTGCAAGATACTCTCGTGTAAGCTGCGGCTCTAGCTCCGCCTCGAGCGACTTTTTTTCCTTTCCCTCCGTGTAGTACGCATAAGACTCTGCGTAGGCCTGCTTGCTCACCAGCTTAAACAGAAAGTATTCGGGCGGGTACGGCATAAACTCTATATTTACTTCAACTTCAACTTGTACTTTTCTTTTCTTTACAGGTACACTTTCAATATGCTTCTGTTTCTTGTGTGGTGTCTTGCCCTCTTCTATAAAGAAGTAAGCCGGGTTCTGCGCAAGTAATCGTAACAGTGAAAGTAGTGCGTCTTTATTTTCATCTGATGCCGCTGATATTTCCTCTTGTATGGTTTTGACTATTTCTCTTGCATAATAATTATTTGTTTCTGCTACAGTTTTTAATGCCTTTATTATGTACTTGTTTGTGAGTTTGCTCTTCCTAATAAGAGCAGAGTACTCCTGTCCTACACTCATAAATATTCGCATAAAAATATTCTAAAAATTATAAGGAAAGTCCGATGATGGCGTAAAGAAACAGCCGATGCAAAAAGCGCAGGGCATGCCCAACCAAGAAAATCCACGCTCTGCTGCATTTCCGCTGCTCCGATTCAAATCTGCAACTGACCGCTTCGGCAGGCGTATGCCCGGGTATGTGCGCATCTCTCTTGTATCTGCGTGTTCAAGACACCCCCGCTTGCAGAATACCGTCTTTCCCGCCTGCAGCCCATGCAAGCCTCCATCTACTGCGGGTGCTCTTTCCTGTCTTTTTTTGGCTTTAGAAGAGACGCCTTCTCTCCCACCGTTAGGAAGTTCATCATATTTGTGTACGGGATGACCTTTTTGACGCTTTCGTTGGGCTCCTGTGCGATCCCCTCCATGCTTGCGGGCACCAGCGGGTCTCGAAACCCGTCCTGCAGCGACCTCTCCAAAAGGGTCAGCTTCCTGCTGTCATGCTCCTCCTCCGGCACGAGCGGCCTGTTTTTATTGAACAGCAGCGGCACAAAGCTTCCGGTTAATCTCAGCGTTGTGGCCAGGCGGTGCTCGGGCGCATTAGGCACTCTGTATTCGTCTATTGGATGCTCCTGCATGTTTCCATCGCCTGTGTATATGCACACCTTGCTGGAAAACAGGAAAGCAGCTGTGCTGTACATATGCTCTTCAGACTTTCCGGCCCACTCAAACCCCAGGAGAAACTTGTCTGTGTTAAATTTATAAATCTTCACAATGCTATCGCTGCTGTCTTGCGCGTTCTGGAAATAGAAGTGCCCGTACTTGTTGTACACTGCAATGTGTTTGCCAACCGACATTGTTCCATTCGTGATGTTTGTGTACGAAAGCCCCGTCTCAGCCGACAGATTCCGCATGTCAAAAGCCCCAAGCGTGTATCCTGTGAAAATGTGCATTGTGCTTCCTCTCCCTTTTTCCACCTTGTAGTTGCTTGGCACATCCGCTGCCCCCACATTTCCCTTTCCCATTGTTTTTAGCCTCCAAAAGCTCCTGGAAGCCTTCTCCCGCACGTCAACCACAGAGGCAGCGTCTGCAGACAGGCACACATACTGCTTCGGATGCCAGGTGTTTCCTACCTTGCGAAATTTGCCCTGGCCGCTGCACGCTATGCGGTATCCCTCTATTTTCCCAGTAGCCATATCCACCCTGTCAAACAGCATGCTTTCAGCCGGCTTTCCCAGCCCTCTGTCTCTGAGCACGGGGATAGTGCTGCCCCTTTTTTCTGGAATAGCCATGTCTATCGCGTTGGGCACGGACAGCCGGTATTTGGCGCGTGTCTCTGCCGCTACAACATCGAGCGAGTCTCTCCCTAGAAAGTGCACTGTGCTTTTGTGCAGGCCTATCTTTTGCGGGGCTTCCTGCCTTGTCAGAAAAACCGTGCTATCCTGCCTGTCTGTGGTCCTGTCCTTGTGTATGTAGTATTTGTGGCCGTCCACAGAGTACATTATATACGGCGAGCCCTTCTCGGCTGATCGGTTTATGGTGATCGTGGAGGCAGGCCTTTCTAGGCTTTTTTTGCACGCCTGGATGTTGATGGGGATTGTTTCTTTGGTTTTGAAAAAGTTCGTAAATGCCCAGTTCTTCTGCCTCTCCTCTATTGTCAGGCCCGGCCGTATAGTAAGGGGAGTCGCGAGAATGTCGGAATCTATGCCACACGTCACGAATTCTTTATAAACACTAGACAGCTTTTTGGCTACATCCGTGTGCGCAAAGTCCTCGCCTGGCTGTATGTCGCTGCTTTTTGTTCTTTTGAAGTCCAGCTGCACCCATTTCCCACCCATTAAATATTTTGCATTCCGGAATAATGATAAAGGCCGCAAATACTTGGCCGCCTGCACAGCCGGCATTTGAGCACTTCTCGTGCTTTATGCGCATGCAGGAGAATTCGCCAGTTCTATGCGTCCGCGCTGTTCCAGGTCTGCAGTGATTTCTTCTTTGCTGCACCGGGCTCAATCACCCGAGCCCAAACAATCCCAGGCCCGGGATGGGCTGTGCGAGTGCACACTCTTTTGCGCATGCGCAATCCTCGCTTTTTGTGCCTGAGAAGCCCGAGCAACCTGAAACTGGCTAAATGGGAATAGTCTCCCTCCGGCGCTCTCCCGAAGCTGCAAGGCTATCCCAACACGTGCAAGCGCAAAAAGTGCGGGCGTGTTTGGCCCTTCCGCATTGCACAAGACAGCTGACTCCAGCTCAGCTCCAAGAAAATGCGCCTCTTCTACACCTAATAATATTTATTGAGTACAAAATGTCTAGGCTATTTCAGCTGACTGTCCATTTTCTTGGCCTCTATGCGAACTGCGTGCGCCCAATGTGCGGTGAGCTTTTTTATGTGTTCTTTAAGACTAGCTTTAGCTCTCTCCGTAAGGCTGTCTTTTACTTTGTCTGCTGTTTGGAGCAGGCGCATCCAATATCTCCAATTTCTCTCCGGGTCCCTCTCAAAGAGCCGCAGAAGCATCTTCTGCACAAAGCCTGCTCTGAGAAGATGCATGCACAGTGGGAGCATCTCCACCACTTTCTCTGCAGAGCCTGCCTCCGCCACCAGTGCGCCCATAACTCTCTCCAAGTCGCACACTGCATTCTCTGGGCTGTACTCCTTCTTTTCCCGGGCGTCAAACTCTGCAATGTCCGGGGATGGAAACGTGAGCGCGTTCTTTCTATCTTCTATTTTCAGATTCACTATGTCCTCAGCAATCACGTCCTCTCTCTGTATGTACAGGCCAAAAACATCCGCCACCTTCCTGGCAAGCTGTCTCTGCGTGTCTCCTGCCTTCTCCAGCAGAGTGCAGTACTCTCTGTACAGCTCGCCGTGCTTTTCGTGCTTGGCCTTTTTCGCTGCAATCAAGACGCTTGGCAGGTGCGGCGCGTATCTTTTCTTGTCCTTTGCAAACCACTCGCTGTACTTCTCTATGAGCTCGCTCTGCTTTTTCGTGACAATAGGCACTGCCATGGACAGCGACATCTGCGCCTGCCTCTTCACGTCGTCATCCGGGTCCTGAAGCGCCCCCATAAGGGCTTCGCACACGTCTTCGTCTCCTGCAAACCCGTGTATAAGCGCTATGCACTCCATGCGCACAGCTTTGTTTTTGCTTTCCATTTTCTGGGTCATTTTTTGGAGAATTTCGGTGTCTGGTATGCACTCCACGTACATGAGCGCCCTCAGCATAAAAAGGCTGGAGTATGTGATATCGAGCTCGTTCGATATATCCATAACGATTTCCTTGGCTTGCTTTTCCTCTTCCTCTGGCGAGAGCTCCAGCTTTGCGCCCACCCCCTGGAATATTTCGGCAACTTCGCTCTCGCGCAGATGCATCTGCTCTGGGATTTGCAGCTTCCTGTGGCGCATCTTCACAAGAAGTATCTCCAAAAGCAGGTCCTTCTCCTTGTAGAAGTAGGAGACCAGGTAGTCGAGTATGCGCCTGTCCAAGGCCTGCCCAAGAAAAACAATCAACTCGATCGTTCGAATGTCGGACTCCTCTATCTCCACAATAAGCAGGCGCAGCATGTAGTACAGCATGCGCACCGAAACTGCATCGCGAACGCCCTGGCTGGCCTTGAAGCGGCTGATTTTCAAGGCATCAACCGACCGCGCCAGGAATATGTCTGCGTTTTCCCCGTACGCTCTTTTAACAAACACAAGAATGTTTCTCTCTATTTCCTGGCGTATTTCCGTGAGGGCGTATTTGGACTGCGTCTGGCCTTTCAGAAGCCTGGGGAAAACAGAAGCTTCGAACTCGGCAAGGCCGTATGTGTCCACATACGGGATTATTTGCTTGTATACCCAGGTAGACAGACACTTAAATCCAACAGTCAGCGCATACAAAACTCTCTTTTTTAATTCAATCTCGTCGGGAACAAACCTCCATCCGTGCATTAGGTTCAATTCATCCGATATAGCCACTTTTTCGACTATTCCCTCCTTTTGGATAAGACCAGATGCGTCCCCCTCACTGGAGACCTTCTCTGCATTTGCCATGAAATAAAAAACAGAAAATTATTAAATACTTAGCGTTACTTTCAGTTTATTATTTCTTTGTCCGCTTGTAAATGAATCGGCGAATGGGATTATAGAAATAAATGAGAAAAGGCAAAAACGAGCAAATCACTATGGTAAAGAACGGGTACAGGCTGTCAATGGTCTGCCCCGGCACCTTCACGTTCATCCCCCAAATCCCAGACAGCAGCTGGCACGGCGATATGATCAACGCCGCCAGACTCATTCTGCTCATGGACTTGTTCATTTCGTTTCCCTCCTGTGTCTGCGCCACGTTCAGAAGGGCCAAGTACGTGTCCTGCGACCTCTCCAGCCCACGAAGCAACTCCATGAGCTTTTTTGACAGGTCTCTAAGATCTTCTATTGCCTCGGACATGTACCTCCGGACCAACGCCACAATTCTATTTCTGCACCTGTCTCTTATGATCTTAAGAATTTCTATTTTGTACCTGACGGTTATTAAAAGGGAGTTTATTTGACAACTCACATGAAATGTTCTCTTAAGAATCGACGCCATCTCCGCCTCTTTGAAGTTCTTGGATATCTCCTGGATCTTGACCGACTCGAGTATGCATCCGTCCACGAGGTACTTTATGTCCTGCATGAACTCTATGATGATGGAGTACAGCACCCAGGAGGGCGTGAGAGATGTGTGCTTGGAAAGTAGCTCTATAAAGTTGAATGTGTCTTGCACGCTGATCCATGGCTTGTCGTGGAACGTGAGAACAAAGTCCTTAAACACCAAAATGTTAAAGTCTACATCGTCGTTTGTGGGGTCGGCTTCGACAAGCAGCTTCATCGAGATAAAAGTGTAGTGCTTAAACACCTCTATCTTTTCGTCTGTGTTTCCCTCTTTTATATCCTGCATGGTAAGCTCATGCAGGTCAAACATGTTCCCAAGCGACTGCAAGTCTGCATCCGTGGGGTTGAATATGTTCAGCCAAAAGAAGTTGTTTTTAAGCATGTCCGAGTAGCCTGCCGAGATGTTTTCAAGCACTTGGGTCTGCACCAGGCCCGAGCCCTTTGAGTAGAACATATACTTGCTCCCGGATGGGTTTAGCCCATTCAAAGGGGAAAAATTAAATGTCATTTGGGCAGAGTCATCTCTTTCTGTGTTTTTTATCATGGGCGTGCTTCGGATGGTCTCGGAAACAACCTCTGCCGTCGTGTCCATCACCTGGTCTTTTCTAATTTTATATACATGCGGCATTTCCCTGCCCTTTTTCATCTTACGATATATCGTTATAATTTCTGCGAGTGCACCTCTGTGGCTTTCTGTGGTGGCCATGCGGAAAAATTTGCGTATGTTTTTATTGTCACCAAACCCCTTTAATTGGGCTATGGCTTGATGCAAACTCGGCATATATGTGGTTTATAACGGGGTGTCTGCGCGCACGTGTATGTTTGAGGCCAGGATCAGAGCAGACTACTGGGCAATTTCTGGAGTGCCTGGGCGCTGATTGGCGTGTTTCACATGATCATTTTAGGGGCCCCAGCTAAGCATTCTGCAAACATAGCATTTCTATATCGTGTGTTTGCGTGGGTATAGTGCATAGCGCTGCAGCTTGGCGCTACACGGCAGCCCATCCCCTGTTCTTCTCCGCTGCTCTGCTTCACTTCTGCGCAGTATTTTGGAGCTTTATGAAAACCCCCGTGAACGCGAGTGCTCCGTATGCTATAAGGGCAACTGCAGCCATTCTCTCTATTACAGTCTTTCGAATAGGTATTTTCAGGAAGCATATCGCTGGCAGGAAGTTACACATAATTGCAGAAGCACTTCCCCCAACGGCCGTCTGTATAGTGGACAGACCCATGGGGATAAGCGCCAGCATGGCGCATGCAAACAGTATGGCCCCCGTGGAGAAAACCCGCACCATGGTCTTGTTCTTTTCCTGCTTGCCCACCCACTTAAAGCAGAGTATCCACTCTGTGAGACAGTCTCTTGCCGGGTGTATCTGCAGCGGGAGCGAGCACGATATAAATACTGTGTAAAACACAAATACTATGTTCTTGACGCTTCCGTCGATAAAGGAGCTAAAAACGTTGTCTTCTATCTTGTTTCCGTATGTCATATAGACTAATATTCCAAACACAACGTACAACACCAGCGCAGTGCCCAGCCCGAAAAACGAAATAATCTTCATTTTTCTTATTGTTGGGTTGCTCAGCGACGCCCGAATCCCAAAAATGTTCTGATGGCAGGTGAAAGAAAACACAAACTGCCCTGCAAATCCTATCCAGCTGTACATAGGAGGCCTAAACATGGCTGTGTCTGAAGCAGAGCCTCCCAAGCCATGCACCCTCATATAGTTGTATGCGCTCGCCACTACGCAAATGCACACCCCCAGAACGCCGATAACTGAAGTGTACTTTAGGCTTTTGAGGTCCTTCATGGCACACACCGGGAACATAATCAGGGTATACAAAAACGTGATTTGCATCGTGCTTATGCTGCTGAGGGACTGGATATTGGCCATGTTCAGGATGTAGAGCAAAAGCGGCTGCAGGAGCACAAGGTAGGAAATACTCACGCCAAAGCACTTTGTAAAAACAACCCAGTTAAACATGCTGCCCAGGCCCGGGTAGATTTTGCCCAGCACATCTGTGAACGTTTTTCCGTTGCTTTCTGTGTACTCGGCGCACTTGCACAGCATAACTATGCTGCTGAACGTAAGCGCGCATGCTGCCACCGATAAAACTGTTGCTGTTACAATTCCAAACTCGACAAAAAAGAGCGGGTAGCTAACTATCCCGGCACCCATTATGGTTTTAAGCAAATTGAAGTATCCTGTGTACATTTCCATTGTTTGCATTCCTTTTTAAATTCCAGCAAAATTTTGTAGCTAATAAATAATGGCAGGAGAGTTTGTTTCAGATGAGGAGCTGCTGTGGGGCGAGGATGTTTTGTCTATTGTGAAACCAATGCGCAAGAGCACAGGCCGCGCATGCGCCAACTGCACGTGTGGGAAAAAAGAGAAAGAGCAGATTGAAAACGAGAAAGCAACCGGCAAAATTGACTCGTCGTGCGGCAACTGCAACTTAGGAGACGCCTTCAGATGTGCATCCTGCCCTTTCACGGGGCTGCCCCCCTTTGAAGCCAACAAGCCCGTGCGCTTTGATCCAGACGAAGTTTAGCATCTGCAGCATCCTCGAACGCCAAAGAGCAGCCATAAAGTGGCGCTGCGCAAAAACATCGCGCGAGCGAAGTGGGAGCGTGCAAATTTCACTGTCCCTGTAGACTCTGCCTGTTGGCTCTGCCTCGCATGCTGCATGAAATGAAATGTGCGCCAAAGGCACATGCGCAGGCTCTATTACATAATACACTTACAATTTCTACGCGGCACCTGCATAACCTACTATACTTATATTTATTTCTTTCTTTTTCGGGTTTCGTCCTTTCTTATGGTTGCATAGTACAGCTCCAGAAGGCTTGTTTTCTCTCCTGGTATGCGTATAAGGTTGGATGTTTCCAGCACCACCAAAGGCTTTGCGTTTATCCTGGAGCTAATTTCCAGCATAAACTGCCGAGGCGGCGGGGGCACAAAGTATTTCCCGATTTTGGTTTGTATCGACAGTTTTATGTCCGACCCGTTTGGCGTCTGCCTTCCCGACTGCTCGGCGTATAGCATGGCGTCTTCCAGGGCCTCTATAAAGTACTTGTAGGCAACTTCCAGAAACTGCAGGATTACCTTAGGCTCGCACTCTTCTATGCCCACAGAACGCAATATCAACGAGATGATCTTGGCATCGCGCGGCGCTAGATTGTCTGACGTGCCCATAAATACACTTTCTCGTAAAATTTTTATGACTTTTAAAGAGTTTAACTTGCACACTGCAGTTATGAAAGGCCTGGAAGCAGGCCGGTTTAAAGACCCAAAGCAAGTACAAAGCAAGATAATTCCCATGGCGCAGGAGGGAAAAAACATTGTGTGCTCTGCTAAAACGGGGTCTGGGAAAACCCTTGCCTTTTTGGTTCCTGTTTTGGAGAGGCTGCTTACCGTAAAGTGGGCGCGCGCTGACGGGCTGGGGGCTGTGATTATTTCGCCCACGCGAGAGCTTGCGCTGCAGACGTTTTCTGTTCTGCAGGTGATTGGGCAGTTTACGCACTTGAGCGGTGGGCTTTTGATAGGAGGCAGGGACGTGGAGCGGGAAAAAAGCACTGTTGGAGAGCTGAACATTGTAGTGTGCACTCCCGGAAGGCTGCTGGACCATTTGGAGTCTGGCTGGAACTTTTCAGGCGACAATGTGGAGTGCCTTGTCATTGACGAGGCAGACAAGCTCATGGAAATGGGGTTCAAACAGACTGTAGAAAGCATCCTCGAGTACATGAACAAGAAAAGGCAGACGCTCCTCTTCTCGGCAACTGCCGACGTGATTGCCCATGCGAAGAGGGTCTGGGACATAAGCAACCCCGAGTTTGTGTCGGTCTCTGGCGGTGCTGAGGCCGAGCCTTTCCATCTGCGCCAGGAGGCGTTTGTGGTTACGCCCGCCCAGAAGCTGGACCTTCTCTACGTTACGATAAAGAGCAACATCAGAAAGCGGATCATCGTGTTTTTAACCACGTGCAAGGAGGTCACGTTCTACTACACCCTTATTAAGAAGATGCGGTTTGGCCTGGGCGCCCTATACCTGAACGGAAATATGTCGCAGAACAAGCGCATAGAGACCTTCTACAAATTCGCAGAGAAAGACCCAAAGATCCTTTTCTGCACGGACATTGCTGCGCGCGGCCTGGACTTCCCTGCTGTAGACATCGTCTTGCAGCTTGATGCCCCAGACTCTAAGGAAACATACGTCCATAGGGCAGGGCGGACTGCAAGAAACGGCGCCAAGGGCACGAACATTCTTGCAATTTCAAAGCACGAGGTGGGAGTTCTGGAGGCCCTGAGGGAGGTCGAAGGCTTCCCAGAGAGCCCGAGGGAGTACACTGGAAAACGGTCAATAGAGGATAGAGTCAAGGCCATGGTCAAAAACACGCCAGAGATATATGTTCTGGCACAGAAGTACGTTAAAACATACAAGGGCTACTTAAGAGTTGCAAAAAAAGAGCAGGTCTCCGACAGAGAGGCCGTTTTGCAGGAGCTTATAGAGTATCTGGGCGTGCAGGAGGACGAAAATGTTTCCTGGTCTGCTGACATGAAGAAAAAAAACTCTCTCAGAACATACACAAAGCTGGAATAAAAATCAGAATAGAAACGGGTATACGAAGAGAATTTATACAGGATATTGAATTTCGCAGATATTTCAGCAGAAGCCCAGAACATGCGGGCTTTTCTGCTTACATTTGGTTTAGGATCGATATGAGCCGGGTGTCATACTGTTTTAGCGCAGCCTCTGACGCCGACATTTCGTTTGGCAGCGGCTGCGAGTATATAATTAGGTGGATGTCTCGGATCAGGTCGTCCCAGGACTTTTCAGTTACTTTCTGCGGGTCGTCAAAGTGCGCGTCCTTAAGCAGGAAAGGCACTCTTGCCCACATGCACGTGAAAGACTGCCTGCCAACAAGGAAAAAAAATACGGCCATGCCCATAAGGAACATGTACAGCATAAACTCTGTTTGCTCTCGAAGCAAAAAGGTGTTGCTCGAAGACTCTGTTATGAGGACAATGTTCAGCGCCTTCTGAAGCAGCCCGTATGCAATGGTATAGGTTTTCTGCAGAGGAGTTGAAAAAGTTGCAAACACTAGCAAGAAGTACGTGAGTGGGAAAACCAGGAGGAGCGCCTCGGCGAAGATTCTCTCGCCCACAAACATCGACTTGGTGCACACCCAGTACATCGACATGGGCTTCTCCCTTCTATCAAATGGCCCAGAGTAGTAGTCTTCCTGCACTATGTAGTTTATGACCTTCATTTCGATTCTGTCGTATCTGCGCATGTGCATTTTCTGCGCCTTGAAGGCCGTGCTGCTTCCTTCGGATCGGAACATGTGCTGAAATATGCAGACCCCATAGATTATTGATATCCCGCATATTTTGTGCATGCTCTTGAGCACAGCCTTTGCCACGTATACAATTGCTGGCAGGCTGAATCCTGCGCTTTTCATGTACCGAATCCTGTACTCAGAGTACACATATCCTGCATACATGCTAATAACCGCGTACATAAGCATAGACCACACTGCATACAGAAGCACCGCTATGTTCACTAGGAAGCTCCCGCTGTACGGGCCGTGAAGCACAAGAGAAGCTGCCGTGTACATAAAAAAGACGCCCCCCAGCGTGAGCAGCCCCCCAACTTGTCCGCCTCCTATTCTCTCGGAGAGCGCCTGCATTCGTTTTTCCAAAGACCCTAGCATATAGTGCTTTACAACATTTGACTCCTGGTTTTCCAAGTAGTTTCCTAGGCAGAATCCAGAGAAAAGCAGCCCAAGCACTAAAATCCCGGTTAGGAACGAAGAAATGCTGGCATTCGGAAAAACAGAAGGAATCTGCAACGGGAGAATGAATATGCTGTTATATGCTATTTTAAATAGTCCTTTGCCTGTTTCGTAGTGGCCCATTCTGAGCATATGCTCAGACTCATACATCATATCCACAGACTCTTGCTTGATTTTGTACTCGTACTTTGTTCCTATCCGTTTGAATGCTTTGTGTACAGAGTGGCGCAGGTCGTATACTAAAAGAAATAGCCCGGAAAATGAAAGCACGCTTAGGAGCAGGGGATTAAAGCACAGCAAATCTTTGCTGTTTATGCTGGCGAGCAGGCCTTTTATGAGCACGTATGTATATTGTGTGCAGTATGCGATGTACAAAACAGACAGCACTGCATACGCCCACGCAGATAGAGTTATCCTGTGCTTTACGGTGTGATTTTGTTTATTCCGCTCTGTGCTCATTTTGTGTGAAAATATTGCTTTGTCGCAGTTAGTAATGTAGAAAAACAAAGGGTTATTGATGCCAGCGCATGATTGGCGCATAAACACTATGCTATTGTGCCCCAAACACACAGGGGAATACAACGATGCCCCTCAAATTATGGAAAGTGTGTGTCTGCCCGCTGTGCCATTCAAGGGCTTTATGCTTTGTCCGAGCTATTTCTTCAAACTGGTTTGACTTATTGAAAGTTTTCTATATGTGCATTGCTTGTGAGAATTGAATCTGTTTTTGAAAATGCTGTGGGAAGGCCTTGAAAAATACAGGGCAGCCCCCAACAAACACTGTGCTAAGCTCCTATTATGCTCGGTTTATTGCTTTAATTATGCGTGTAGAATCTATCCAGGTCCTCCTCTGTCACGCTCTTTCTTCTTTCTTGGAACTCACCCACAAACTTCTGCAGGGTTTCAATGCACAACTTCTTCATTTCTCCGCTGAGTATTTCTCCCTTCTCGTACCCCACTCTGTACTTTTCCAGCAGAGCGTCGTCCTCCAGGAAAAACACCAAGTACTTGTATGCAACATCGACTGCCAAGTTTCCGCCCAGCCTTCTATGCTCCTCCAAAGTGTCTCTTCCCCCGGAAAACGCGTATTTGTTGATTTTCTTCTTGATCTGCTCGGGGGTGTCGCTCAGGTATATGGAAGACTCTGCCGAGCTTGCGCTCATTTTGGTGCCCGCGCCCTGCAGTGCTGGCAGGAAGTACGTGTACACAGTCGCCGGCTTTATGGCATGCATTTTGTTCGCAATGTCTCTCGCAAGCCTGAAGTACGGGTCCTGGTCAATAGAGCACGGGATTAGGCAGATTCCGCCCTCTGGGAGTATGTTCGGAAACGAGCTAGGGTAGCACGGCGACATCTGGCGCGCGGGGAAGGAAACCTGCCCCACCTTTGCGTCCTCTGTGAATCCAAACACTTTCTGGAACTCCTTAAGCGTCAGGCTTTTTTCTATTTTCAAGGTGTTTCTCATGAATGTGTGCGAGTACAGAGTGTTTGAGAAAATGAACGTTTTTTCTGGGTTAAACCCAAACGCAATTATGTCTTTGGAGTTCTCTCTTCCGTACTTTATAGAGTCTTCTAGCGTTATGTCTTTCCAAATGTACTTTTCGTCGTCTGTTATTTGTATCACCAGCTGGCAGTTGAACCTCTCCTGCAGATACTTGCACAGCAGAAATGGAACCGCGTGTCCTAAGTGCATGCTGTTGCTGCTGGGGCCTCGGCCCGTGTATAAATATATGGGCTTGCCGCTTTTGGCCATCTCCAAGGCCTTATTGAAGTCCCTGTGCGCAAACACGATGCCTCTTCGGAATAGGATGTGCGTCAGCTCGTTCTTGCTCGACATCTCCTGAGTGAATGGCTCGCACCCAAATTGGTTTATTATCTTGCTGTAGTCTATTCCATCGGTGCTGTCGCCCGCCCGTACTTCCCACGGGGTTACTGTCTGCTGACTGGTTGGTGCGTTCATAGCAAAAATAAAATGAACAGAGTATATGTGTGCAGCAGATGGTCTTTTCCGCGTGAACACGAAGCCTCTGCTTGCTAGTACATCTCTCCCCAGGCACACAACGCACTATGCACTATACATCCTCTGAAAGCGCATTTCCAGAGCCTGCCGCCCTGCATCGAAAGCGAGCCTCTAGCAAGCACGGGAATCCAGCCCCAGAGCATGCAGATAGATAAAATGTGCACATGTGGCCCAATATCTGCCCTCTTTTCGCGCTGCCATGCATGCACACCCAGAGAGAAGTCTTCCGGAATAGCCCGAATTTTCCAGTCAAGCACGCACTCTCCAGACGGCGCGTGTGCTTTGCTTATAATTTTGCAAATTATTTTACCCCATGATGGAAGTCAGGAGTATATTTAATTTTATTCTCTGTTACACCCATCGCACATAAATACTGTGCTGTGCCTGTGTGCATGCGCAGATACATTTATTGTTTAAAATCATACAGAGCACTGCCTAGGCTAAAGTCTGGCTGCTGCTTAGCACAGCGCCCATCCCATTGCACAGTGCGTAGTGTGCTAGCGAAATGCATAGTACTCTTGGCCGGAATGCGCGCACAGTTTCTGCTGTGCACAAAAGCATGCGAGGCGCCAGCACATCTGTATGCAGCACGCAAATGCCCTCGCATAAATGGTTTATTTCTTTTTTAAATTATGCTAATACAAGAGCACATAAAAATAATAGAAGAGGCACCGCAGCACATACAGAGCATCATTTCAAAAATAGACGAGCTAGAACACACTGTTTTGTCCCATAAGAAAACCCTGAGCAGAGAAATACGTCTGCTCAATGAAACGCTAGAAGACAAGACCCTGGGGAAGGCAAAAGAAAAGGCGTCAATTGATAAGCAGCTGCAAACCATAAACATGTGCTATTTAAACCTTCTCGACATCGACAAAAAGAAGCTGTCTCTGGTGAGCTCGCTGCACTCTCAGCTGGAGGGCATAAAGTCTCTTATCAAAACGTCTTCGGCGGAGTTTAAGGAGGGAATAGCAAAGAGCTCTCTCACTTTGAAGCTCAAGAAAATAGTATCTCTTCTAGACTACAAAATCGAAGAAGACAACAACGAAGAAGAGATCCTGTGCTGCACTTGCAAGCGGCCTAGCAAAGGGGAAATGCTCGTGTGCGACAGCCCCGAGTGCCCGATCGAGTGGTTCCATGCAGCCTGCGTGGGGGTCAAGGGAGTCCCAAAAAAGAAGTGGCTGTGCAGTATTTGTAGCAAAGAATGATTTAAATTTTTTATGGCAAAACCAGAAGAACTTTCGCTCTCGGAAATAGTCCAGAAAATAGTGGATCTACAGGAGACCCAGAAGACAGATATAGAAAAGGAAACTGACAAACTTAAATATCACTTAATTGGCAGGCATAATAATCACACTACGTTAAAATCTGATCTGAACGAGTCAATGGATGCAATTCTCGAGCTGGTGCAGCAGTACAACAGCGAGAAAAAGGCGGAGCGAGAAAGAGTTCTCAAGAAAGTGGTGGCGGTGCGATTTGAAATCTTGGTGGACTCCATTCTGTACCAGGAGAGGCGGCTGAAGGAAGGCCTTATAAAAAACCGAAAGGAGTACGTGGACCTCACCAAGAAGCTGGTTACGCGGGTTGTGGAGGCGCTTGGAAAAGTTTTGGAGATTGGAGTGACCGGGACAATTTACTATCCGTTTGTTCTCAGAATGTGCAGGTGCTTGGTAGGCCTGTCCACGGCCACCGGATACTTCATACCAGTCACATACTACCTTCTGTACATGATGAATCAGATGGTAAAAACATCGCCTTCGTCGCTGCCTGTGGTGCCTGTGGCAAGCACTGCTGTGAAGGTCCCAGAGAAGTACATCAACAGCTCGGTCTATAGGGAGTACGTTATGACCAACTCGCTGGACTTGATTGTAGAGTGCCTGAAGCTGCACTCGCAGAGCCTGTCGTTCCCTGAATATTCGGCGTACGTGGTGGGCGAGCTCAAGAGAGTGCGCAACTCCCACAACAGAAGCAGCCCGTGGGTGAACAGCAAGGCCGACGCGGTTGTTAAGGCTGTGAGAGACCACGCCGAGCGAATAGAGAAAATACGCGAAGGCCTCTCTGTGATAGATTCAGCAGCAGTTAGAAGGCTGGAGGAGAACATCCCAGAGTTCGAGCTGAATATAGAATAACAGCACGCAATAAAAACACAGTGCCCAGAAGTATGCAGCTTTGCGCGCCCTTATACCTATTTGTTTGGATTGAGATTTTGTGCGCGCCGTGCACTTCTAGCAGGATGTTCGCGCGCATGGCGCTGCACTGTTTTTGTGGGGGATTTGGTCAATAAAAAGAAATGCGCTGAGAGTTTATTTATCTGTGCACAGTTCGGTTTAATGCGCACCAGTAAAGCCGTGCTATCGAGCGTATTCGTGCAAAGACTGCATTTTGTTTGTCTTCGGCCCACGCAAAGCTTGTATCTTTTCCTGTGCTGGCCACTATACAAAACTCTCAATGCCCTAGTAACACCCAAAAACGAGCAGCTATGCTTTCAGAGGTCTAGGTAAATCAGCATACCCAAAAATGCTGTGTATGCTACTGTGGTGGTAACAGCAGAAATAATAACTATTCGGCACGTCATCCTGTTCATTTGTCTTTTTAAATCTTCGTCCATAAACTGCCAAAAATATATCTATTTATAGTTGTGATCTATTGTCCAAATCTATTGTTGTCTTGCTATACTATCCAATCAGAGTGACAGCCAATGGATCGTTTCCATATAAGTTATTTCAACCCGAAAATTGTAGCCGTTTTTAAGATTACAAAACTCACCAATGTCATCGCAATAAATGTGGCGAGTGATAGAGCAATAATGTATATAACTTTTGGTTGTGGCACTTTCTCCATGTTTTCGTCTGCAGCCATATAATCTATTTATAGTTTTAATAGCACTTGCCACGCTTGCATTGGCCTACATGGAAGCCAATAGAATCAGCACCCCACGCCCACACATCACCAATTGTATACAACGTGAAATGCCCATTTAAAGCCCCCGAGCCTAAACTGCAATAATAGTTTGTCCAGAAGAAATGTCTGTACGCTGCCTGCTGCCGTAAATAGAGTGCTATAGAAAACTCCCTGGCCCAACTGCACAGCAGCTCAAGAGACAGCGAAAGTTCTGGGCCCTCTAAACTTTCAAAGTCCAAAGCCGGCCTACCATGCCTGAAGCTTAAAATAGCAGAAGCACGTATTTGCTTTGGGGTGACTGGCAGAGGAAATTCCAAGAAAAGTTTTGCCCTATTCCAAATTGGCTTTGCCTATCCAGTGCCGCCCTCTGTAGCTCAGCTCGCATTTGCGGGCTCACACAAAAAGAGCTCTCGAATAGATACAATGCACTGCAGGACGCATGTCCCTAGAATGCGGCCCTGTTTAAGCTAGCATTCTGGATATAGTCTGCATTTTCAGCTGGTGCTTACCACTTTCTTTGCGTTCTGCCTGGGCTATGCTTTCTCGCTACGCTCTCCTCTGCTGGATGCTATTTTTGTGTGTGTTTTTTAAGCCGTACACATTTGCATTTGCGCGCATGCCCAGAGGGCTAGAATAAAACCAAGTCAAAAATGAAAATTCAAGCGTATGGATTTATAATTTGCCTTTGCAGAAATATAAACAGAGCTGGGCAGAAACCCGAAAAAGCCATTCTTTTGTAATTGAAATGCCCATGTGCCAGCATGCGCCAGTTAGCAGGGCTGCAATATCGGAATAACCATCTGGGTCTAAGGCTGTTTTCTGGCTTTGGACATGTATAGATGCTTTAGTGTATTTTCTTCGAAATATTCCATTTATTTCTTTACTGCTGCATAGGACAAAGACAGCAATGCAAGCTCGCCGCAGATAGGACGAGCATATATCTAATCATCATGCTTCGGAGACAGGATTGAGTGCAAACATAAACCCATCCACATGATCTGTAGTGCTGTTGTATGCTGAAAGCATAGATACTCAGGATTGGCTATTGCTCAATACGATAAGAGAAGTGGCTTTCTTGCCCACATATCCGAGCAATCCGATTTACTCTATTTAAACAGGTCAAAAGAAACAAAAGACAGAGTTTCACTTGGCACTTCCCGGATTGCAACTGACGTTTTACGCTCCCTCCTGCGGAGTTTCCCCTTTTACAGGCGCAGTGCAAGGAAGCAGCTGGCCGTGGAAACAAAGCGCGCGGCGGAAAGTTTCACAGACACTTTCTAGGAATGGTGCTATTCAACAGAGATGCAAAGTGTGCAGTGCGCAGACTGTCCGCTTTCGGCCACTGCGCATGTGAGCACGCGAAAACAAACAGCAGCTATGTAAAAGATGCGCGCTCTTATGTGCAGCCGGCCCAAAGGCTCGCTTTGTATTTATGGCGCAGCACAAATATTTTTATGCATTTTCCTGCGATTAGAAGCACGCGAGACACCGTGGCGAGCATCATAGAGGTGTACTGCAGAGACCGAAACATAGTACTGTCCAAGGATAGAAAAAAGGCGCTGGTGGAATATCTGCTGCCATACACGAAGCTGTCCCTCTATATTCCGTCCACGCACGAGATAAAAACGCTTTCCAGGGCTGCTCTGTGCCCAGAGAGCCACTGCAAAGTGGAGAAGCTGCTGCTGAAGAGCACCCCTGAGGTGAGAAAGGCGGTGTACTTTCTGTTCAAGCTGAAAGAAACATCTGGCGCAGCTGCAGAAAGCGAGTGCGCCGTTGACCCCGAGGAGACCGCGCTCGGGGCCGTGAAGAATGCCAGCATCGGGGTGTACATGTCGTGGTTTAGAGAAATAGCAGACGGAAAAGGGAGGCTTCTCAAAAAGAAAATTCTGCCCGGACTCTTTGACATAGCGCATGAGGTGTGTGCAGCAGGCGAAGCATACGCGAGCTTGAATGCGCTGTGCAGCAAGCACAGCAAAGCATGCGAAAACGTGTTCTACGAGGCTTTGCGGGAAGAGCTGGGCGCGTACAGGAATGCGATATACTCAGAGCCTGTCGACAGCCTTTTTTCTTTCTATGTGAAGCACGCAGGAAAAATGAAGTGGCTGCACAGGATGCTGCACTTGGCGCAGGAGGTTTCCTCCCTCCCAGAGAATTGCGGCCCGCAGATTGTGCAGTTTGCAGAGAAGATGAAAGCGTCGCCGTGGACACAGGAGCTGGCGCAGAAGATTCTGAGGGCGTACAAGGTGCCGCTTTCAGACAGCCTCGTGAAGTGGATGCAGGGGGAAAGAACGGAGTCCCTGTTCATCCAGGAAGAAGCTGTGCTGTGGGGCACGCCCGCGCTGGGGGAGAGCGAGATTCCTGTGTGCATACCTGCTGGAAGCGCCAGAAGAATCGTGTATGCCGGAAGAGTGAAGAGGCTGCTGCACCTTCTGGGGGACAGAGGCGCGCTGTGCTTGGAAGACGCGCCGAGCGAGGGCGTGTTTGACGAGAAGTGGGTGCTGGAGGTGTACGAGAGGGCGAAGGAGCATGTGAAGCTCCGACTGTTTTCCGAGTTTGGGGTGCACAGACACTTCAAAATGATCCGCGACGTGTTTTTCCTTTTCAGAAGCGACTTTGCGCGCGAGTTGCTGGACGCGGTCGAGGGCGAGGAAATAAGCCCGGGAGTGGTTGACGAGGTTCTTGCGCGGTGCTTCGGGGAGGAGGTTGCACAGTTTGTGGACGTGTGCG